GATAACCTTCGCTTATAGAACTTGTAAAGTGACTGTCATTCTGTCGAAGTCACTCGGTTATTGTGTGGTCAGTTTGTTGACAATTCACACGTTCTATATAACACAGAAATCTGATTAACCTTCTATTTCCATCCCGTTGTATTAGTTTATCAACATGGTCAACTCTTTTCCATATTCATCACAATTCACACATTTGAGCAACATCTCTTCACATGTATATGATTCAGTGTATTCCATGAAATTTCTCAATGATCCTATGTCTAGCTTGTTTATCACAGAATGACAGTGTGTTCAACTAATGCAAATATTACTTGAACGATTTAGCACATCACATTGTCACAAAGTGTATATATTCGACTGAACTGAGTTACATTTCATGACTGATATAGTGCGATCTGTTGACCAATAAAGAATGTAACTCACCTGTGGGTTTGTCTAATGCGAGGTCATCTGAAATGTGAGAGCGTGAATATTTAAGTTTGAACTTGTAATCTGTGATTATGTGAAGAGACGTGTTTATGAACAAGTGTAGAATAGTTTGGAAAGTGATCATCTTACAATTTGAACTGACGTCTGTGGATAAATCGGTAGCTTACTAAATCACTTTCATCGTAATACATTGCACAGTCACATAAATAGTTATGATTTGATTCCTCATGGTGATGTGTTCGTTTGAGTGCAGTTTGTTTGATCATCGTGTTCGTTTGAGCACGTTGAATGATGCTTCGTTTTGATTGGTATGACATTTTAATGTTGCGATTTGGCACTGTTTCGTCTTTGAAACTTGTTCGTATCTGTTTCAGTTTGTCGATGTGCACATTGTAGTTTTCAGTGCCGAAAGGATTCTGTGTCAGTCTGTGCACATTTCTCTCTCCACATCTCTTCGTCTGAACATCTGTACATCTATGCATCCACACATCTCTCTCTTGCTTTCTCCCTCTCCCTCACTCTCACTCTCCCTCTCTCAATCTCACTCTCCCTCTCTCAATCTCACTCTCTCTCACTCTCTCTCACTCTCTCTCTCCGTCTCAATCTCTCTCTCAGATAACCTTCGCTTATAGAACTTGTAAAGTGACTGTCATTCTGTCGAAGTCACTCGGTTATTGTGTGGTCAGTTTGTTGACAATTCACACGTTCTATATAACACAGAAATCTGATTAACCTTCTATTTCCATCCCGTTGTATTAGTTTATCAACATGGTCAACTCTTTTCCATATTCATCACAATTCACACATTTGAGCAACATCTCTTCACATGTATATGATACAGTGTATTCCATGAAATTTCTCAATGATCCTATGTCTAGCTTGTTTATCACAGAATGACAGTGTGTTCAACTAATGCAAATATTACTTGAACGATTTAGCACATCACATTGTCACAAAGTGTATATATTCGACTGAACTGAGTTACATTTCATGACTGATATAGTGCGATCTGTTGACCAATAAAGAATGTAACTCACCTGTGGGTTTGTCTAATGCGAGGTCATCTGAAATGTGAGAGCGTGAATATTTGAGTTTGAACTTGTAATCTGTGATTATGTGAAGAGACGTGTTTATGAACAAGTGTAGAATAGTTTGGAAAGTGATCATCTTACAATTTGAACTGACGTCTGTGGATAAATCGGTAGCTTACTAAATCACTTTCATCGTAATACATTGCACAGTCACATAAATAGTTATGATTTGATTCCTCATGGTGATGTGTTCGTTTGAGTGCAGTTTGTTTGATCATCGTGTTCGTTTGAGCACGTTGAATGATGCTTCGTTTTGATTGGTATGACATTTTAATGTTGCGATTTCGCACTGTTTCGTCTTTGAAACTTGTTCGTATCTGTTTCAGTTTGTCGATGTGCACATTGTAGTTTTCAGTGCCGAAAGGATTCTGTGTCAGTCTGTGCACATTTCTCTCTCCACATCTCTTCGTCTGAACATCTGTACATCTATGCATCCACACATCTCTCTCTTGCTTTCTCCCTCTCCCTCACTCTCACTCTCCCTCTCTCAATCTCACTCTCCCTCTCTCAATCTCACTCTCTCAATCTCACTCTCTCTCACTCTCTCTCTCCGTCTCAATCTCTCTCTCAGATAACCTTCGCTTATAGAACTTGTAAAGTGACTGTCATTCTGTCGAAGTCACTCGGTTATTGTGTGGTCAGTTTGTTGACAATTCACACGTTCTATATAACACAGAAATCTGATTAACCTTCTATTTCCATCCCGTTGTATTAGTTTATCAACATGGTCAACTCTTTTCCATATTCATCACAATTCACACATTTGAGCAACATCTCTTCACATGTATATGATTCAGTGTATTCCATGAAATTTCTCAATGATCCTATGTCTAGCTTGTTTATCACAGAATGACAGTGTGTTCAACTAATGCAAATATTACTTGAACGATTTAGCACATCACATTGTCACAGGGTATATATATTCGACTGAACTGAGTTACATTTCATGACTGATATAGTGCGATCTGTTGACCAATAAAGAATGTAACTCACCTGTGGGTTTGTCTAATGCGAGGTCATCTGAAATGTGAGAGCGTGAATATTTAAGTTTGAACTTGTAATCTGTGATTATGTGAAGAGACGTGTTTATGAACAAGTGTAGAATAGTTTGGAAAGTGATCATCTTACAATTTGAACTGACGTCTGTGGATAAATCGGTAGCTTACTAAATCTCTTTCATCGTAATACATTTCACAGTCACATAAATAGTTATGATTTGATTCCTCATGGTGATGTGTTCGTTTGAGTGCAGTTTGTTTGATCATCGTGTTCGTTTGAGCACGTTGAATGATGCTTCGTTTTGATTGGTATGACATTTTAATGTTGCGATTTCGGCACTGTTTCGTCTTTGAAACTTGTTCGTATCTGTTTCAGTTTGTCGATGTGCACATTGTAGTTTTCAGTGCCGAAAGGATTCTGTGTCAGTCTGTGCACATTTCTCTCTCCACATCTCTTCGTCTGAACATCTGTACATCTATGCATCCACACATCTCTCTCTTGCTTTCTCCCTCTCCCTCACTCTCACTCTCCCTCTCTCAATCTCACTCTCCCTCTCTCAATCTCACTCTCTCAATCTCACTCTCTCTCACTCTCTCTCTCCGTCTCAATCTCTCTCTCAGATAACCTTCGCTTATAGAACTTGTAAAGTGACTGTCATTCTGTCGAAGTCACTCGGTTATTGTGTGGTCAGTTTGTTGACAATTCACACGTTCTATATAACACAGAAATCTGATTAACCTTCTATTTCCATCCCGTTGTATTAGTTTATCAACATGGTCAACTCTTTTCCATATTCATCACAATTCACACATTTGAGCAACATCTCTTCACATGTATATGATTCAGTGTATACATTCAAATCAACGACGACGAACTAATGATATCCTTCGATGTAACAGCACTATTCACTTCCATTGAACCAAACTTAGCAAAAGAAACCCTGTCCTTGCTTCTAACCAACGACGAAAACCTCGCAAAATACACGAAACTTCAACGTCAAAGCCTACTTGAACTCATAGATCTATGTCTAACAACATATTTCCAATTCAATAACAAAATCTACAAACAAACAAAAGGGACACCAATGGGATCACCAATATCAGGACTCATCGCGGAAGCAGTAATGCAACGACTAGAAACCATAATTCTACCAGTGATCAAACCGAAAATTTGGATTCGTTATGTAGATGACACATTCGTCATCGTCAAAAAGGAGGAACTAGAAAACACCTACAAGCAGATCAACAACGTCTTCAACGACATCAAGTTCACAATGGAACAAGAGTCGGACAACAAGTTACCATTCTTAGATGTATTAATCACCAGAACTGACACAGGAAAACTAGAGACTCAAGTGCACAGGAAACCGACCCACACCGATCAAATTCTCAACTACAATAGCAACAACCCAAGAACTCACAAAATCAACTGTGTACAAACTTTGTTTAAGAGGGCGAGAACACACTGCAATACAATCGCAGCACGAAAAAATGAAGAAAAACACCTGAAAACCATTCTTCAAAAGAACGGCTATCCAATCAATTTCATCAAAAAATACCAGTCGCACACACCATCAGAAACGAAGTCAGGTATGAAAATCAACAAAATGATCACCCTACCATACATAAAGGGCATATCGGAAACGACAACAAGGCTGCTGAAAACCG